CACTGGAGCCGCTCAGACGCGCAGGGGTAAGAATTTTGACCTACATAGACGACTGGTTAATTCTCGCCGCATCCAGGGAAGTGGCCGTGAGCCACACGCACTGGGTCCTGTCCCACATACAGCGTCTGGGCTTTGTGGTGAACAGGGAGAAGAGCAAGCTGCAACCAGCTCAACGCATGGTTTATCTCGGTCTGCAGTTAGACTCTGTGACATTCCGTGCGGCATTATCCGTGGACAGACGGATGAATATTACCCGTCTGGCCCGGGAGGTTCTGGGGGGCCCCAGAGTCCCCGCTCGACGCCTCAGGTCCCTGCTGGGAATGATGGCGGCGGCTCATGCTGTGGTGCGGCTAGGCCTGCTCCACATGAGGAATTTTCAGAGGTGGTTCTCGCGCCTCAGGCTTCACCCCTCCCGGGACGGGGGGAGGCTGATCTGGGTTCCCCAAGTGGCAGCATCGGACATCAGGTTCTGGCTCACTCCGGGTCTTTTGCGGGACGGAGTGACTCTGGCCTGCGCCGTGTCTCACGTCGAGGTGTTCACGGACGCGTCGCTCGAAGGATGGGGCGGGGTCCTTGGCCAGAGCTCTGTAGGAGGCTGCTGGTTGGACTCAGCCCGTCACATCAACCTTCTGGAGATGGAGGCAGTGCACAGGGTACTGCTGCACTTTGCTCCTCAGCTGCAGGGGAGACACGTGATGGTGCGCTCAGACAACACCACAGTGGTCTCCTATCTGAACAGGCAGGGGGGCACCAGGTCCCCCGCTCTCCGTCGCATGGCGACGGTGACGCTGCTGTGGGCGGCGCTTCACCTCCTGTCTCTCAGGGCGCGCCACGTCCCGGGGGTCCGGAACGTGGGGGCCGACAGGATGTCCAGGGGGGGCCCACTCCAGGACGAGTGGGGCCTGGCCCCACGGGTAGCTGCGGAGATCTGGCGGAGGTTCGGCCGTCCAGGGGTCGACCTTTTCGCCAGTGCAGAGAACGCACAGTGCCCGTCCTGGTTCGCCTCAAGGGCCGCGGACGAGCCGCCTTTAGGCGTGGACGCTCTGGCTCATTACCCATGGCCAGGCGGCCTGTTGTACGCTTTCCCACCGGTGCGTCTCCTGCCGGTCCTGCTGCGGAGGATCGAACAGGAGAGGAGATCGGTGATCCTGGTGGCTCCGGACAGTCCGCATGCCCGGTGGTTCCCCTTCCTGAGGGGCATGGCGGTGATGGAGCCCTGGGCCCTCCCGGACAAGCCGGGGGCTCTAGTCCAGGGGGCAGGAGCCCTGTTTTCACGCCCGATAATCGGCCGCAGGCTCTGGGCTTGGAGGCTGAGAGGCGGAGCCTCGTAGACCTGGGTCTTCCCCCTGCGGTGGTGGAGACCATTCAGGGAGCGAGGGCGCCGTCCACTGTGAGGGCCTACGCCAGGAGGTGGAGGCTATTCAGTGTCTGGTGCGATTCCCGTTCCTGGGATCCCAGGTGTTGCCCGCTGGAGGGGGTCCTGGGATTCCTACAGGAGCTCTTCGACAAGGGGAGGGCTGTCGCTACCTTGGCAGTGTTCGCGGCAGCCATTACTTCGGGTCACGACGGATTCGGGGGGTTCACAGCCCGTTCTCATCCGTTGGTTAAACGTTTTCTGCGGGGGGCGCGCAGGAGGAGGCCCCCGCTCCAGAGAACGCCCCCGATTTGGGACCTCAGGGTGGTCCTTAGGGGGCTGTCGGGTCCGCCTTTTGAACCGGCGGCGGAGGCGAGTCCCGAGTGTATCGCCTTTAAGACGGCCCTCTTGCTGGCGTTGGCGTCTGCTAAGAGGGCGGGCGATTTGTGTGCGCTCTCCGTCCATGCGTCTTGCCTGTCCTTTGGAGAGGACGACGGCATGGTGGAATTGTGGCCCAATCCGGCTTTTCTCCCCAAGGTCATCACGTCGGCCTTTAGGTCGAGAGTCATCAGGATTAGGGCTTTCCATCCGCCGCCGCATGCCTCCCCCGAGGAGGAGCGGCAGCACCTTCTGTGTCCTGTCAGAATGCTGAGGCATTACCTGGCCATGACGTCGTCATTCAGGTTGGGTGGTCAGCTGTTTGTGTGTCTGGGCCCCAAGAACAGGGGCGCCCCGCTGTCGGCTCAGCGGCTGGCGCATTGGGTCGCCACGGCTGTGCGGCGGGCGTATCAGTCGCAGGGTCTGGCCCCCCCGGTGGGTTTCAGGTCGCATTCCACGCGTGGGATGGCGGCCTCTACGGCCCTTCTCAGGGGGGCGTCGGTCGAGGACGTCTGCCGTGCGGCTTCTTGGGCGTCGTCCTCCTCTTTCGTCCGGTCTTATCTTTCGGATGTGTCGGACCGGTCGGTGGCCCATTCCGTGCTGAGTGCAGCGGACTGAGTTAGACCGTTGGGTCCCTCGCCTGAGGGGGCCTTCGGTTTATTTCCGCCCTGGTGCAGGAGCTCTTGGGAGAGGCATCCTACAGGTGCGGTACATTTTTGTGTGTTTGGTCGGTCTGGTAGTCCACGTCAGGAGCTCTTGGGAGAGGCGTCCTGTGACTACGGATGACCTACGGTCTGTGTTACGTGGGGGTATCCTTGGTAGGAGTGGCCCCGTAACACGCTTGTTTCTTCTGCCCTGAGTCCTCTCACGTTGTGAGGGCCTTGCTCGGGCGGAGCTCCAATCACCCTTTGCTGGCCTGCTGGGAGTACATTTTCCTACGGCCTCCGCGTTGTGTCCCACTAGCGAAGTCCTAAGGGACGTAGCACCATGACGTAGAATTAATAGTTACTTAATGTAACTTAAGTTCTACGAATAGGTGCGTAGTCCCTTAGCTACGAGCCCATCAGGCCAGCCCGGCTTGGCAGAGTTCAAGAGGGGGTGCGGCCTTGTGCAGGGGCATTTATAGAGGAAGGTGGCTGGTGATTGGAGCAAATTATTTTGATCTCTCTGGCGTGTGACCTGGGGGTCACGAGTGATATCCCACTAGCGAAGTCCTAAGGGACTACGCACCTATTCGTATAACTTAAGTTACATTAAGTAACTATTAATCCTGGCTGTTCTGTGCAATAATGGAAAGCTGCAGAGCCGGAGCCGAGGCAAATCTACCGTGAAGCAAATCCACCGTGATAGTGCGCCCTCTGCTGGTAAAGACAGATATACGACAGTATTTATTTCACGTTTTACAGTTGTATTGTTGGGATTATTGTGTGTAATTTACAATGTGGTGTAACTTAGTTTACATGTACTATTATTTTGGTTATTTTATTAAATTAAAATGTTATGTTTTACTCCAATATTTCATTGTATTTTGTAGGACAGTGCCTTCATTTGTTCATAATAATAAGGAACAAGGGACAGAGACAATATTTTGGAACAAATTAACATTTTTATTGTGGTAACTAACCAGCCATTGCTGTAATCAGTACAGAAAAGGAGAGAAATCATTGGGTTAATAATGTTAGCTTGCAGATTCCATAACAAAGTAAAAAGTAAAATGTGTACCTTCAGGGTCTTCCCTGTTTCCTGAATTCAACAGAAATCCTTCTGTTGAATTCCTCAACCTCCCTAAAAAAAAATGTAAATAATGTGTAAAAATCAAATGTTGTATGTTTGGAAGGTTTCTTGTAAAAAAAAAAGCAAATCTGAAATAAAATAAAATAACCGTTGTTCATAAATGGCTCCCTGGAGGTACGCCTCTTTTGCCTCCTTCCAGGGTATGTTTTTCAGTTGGCAAATTCCATGAATGATTGCCTGTACAAGTAACAATAAAGTAAACATCAAAACTAAAACAGTAACATTGTCACACTTTTTGGATGTACCTCTGGAAACAGGAATCCAAGAAGGAATTCCACCTCATTGTTGACCTTCAGCACAGTCTGTGTACTTTTGATTAGGGTTCTGAGGTACACAAATAGGGTATCCTGGTGCTCCTCTGTATCTAAATAAACAGGTGTGTAAGTGTAAGTCCTTTCTACATGAGAGGCCACATCTGTGAATGGTAAATCCTGAAAATGAAATGAAATAGCAGGATATTAACGATTGTCTTACAAATATGTAAATTGTCAAAACATTTTTGAAGTTATCGTCATAATTGACAGATCTAGTGAAGTGCATTTTAAGGTGACGCTTCACTCTTCCCAGCTCTGTCGGCTTGAAATGATTCGGACCACAGAATGGACAGTGGAAATCACTGCAGCAATCTGTGCACCTCTTTATCTCAGGCAGGGAATCATTGTCCTTTCGTATTGTAATATCCATCTGAGGGGAAGAATAATGTAAATTTTATTTTTATTTCAAATTAACATATGAATAATTCTAGGCTAATAATGATAATAATAATAATATGGTCAAAACTAGTCTGGAATAACATATACATGCAACAATGTGCCATTAATAATGGTGCAATTTTTTTACATTGTATTTGTCCTTCATTTATCCAGGATAAAGCTCGTTGAGATTAAAAATCTCTTTTTCAAAAGTGTCCTGGCCAAGATTCTTTAAAATTAAAATATGCAATAATTTGCCACAGAAAGTAAAGGTATACCCTTGATACATATGAATAATTGAATGTTTTGGGTAGCCTATGTAATTGGGATTATGTATTGTGTTTTACTAATTTACAACTAGCTTAAACGCTATTTTAAGACGAAAATTACGTCTCATCTTTGGGGGGGAAATCAAGTAATTCGTATGTTGTTTAAAGTGTTAGCTTTAGCAAACGACAGAAGCATCTACGATTTCAAAAATGTGTTCATAAGAAATTAAAAATGAAATAACTCGATTAAAGTCTACTCACGTTCGTTGACTTGATCCAAATGAATATTCCCAAGAGCTAAGACCGTCGTATGTCTGCCTTTACCAGCAGAGGGCGCACTATCACGGTGGATTTGCCTCGGCTCTGGGTCTGCAGCTTTCCCCTACTCGTTCTGTGGGGGGAGGAGCACTGATTGCGTATGTGTCCCCAGCCATTGCAATTATGACTGCGGACGTCAGTCTTCTTAAAGTTTTTATGCTGGTTTTGTGTCTTTAAGGGTGTGGTTGGAACATACTAGTTTGGCGCGGGGTCTGGCGGTGGTGTAGCAGGAGCAGCCTCAGTCTCCCGTACGACAGCAGTGCAGGGCCCAGGCTGCATGATGCTTGTGACGTATGATGCAGCTCTCTTCGTTGTTTTATGGCGATGAGCTATTTCATAAGCTCTCGCCAGTGTGGACGGGCGAGTTTCCAGCAGTTTTTGAATAATATCGGCATCGCCCAAACCATTTGTGAAAACTTCAACAACAATAGCATCCTGCTCCTTCTCGGATCTGTCACCATAGGCCACAGCCACTTTTCCATAAATATCGTCCCGGAAAACATGCAACGCCTCACCAGCCTGGCGTATTCTCTGCCTCAGTTCCACTGCAACCGCTGCATGATCGGAGGAAGGGCCGTACGCGCTCTCCAGCTCCTGTAGTAGCCGCTGGTAGTCCCATTTCGATGAGCGTGGATTCCGGTGAACGATGGCCCCTGCAGCTCCAACCAAGCAGAATTTCAACTGAACCGCCATTGTTTTAGCTGACCAGTGTGGTCAAATTTGTGCATAAACTCTCTCCATGGTGTACTTCCATCATACTGCCCAGGGAGTAGAGTGGGGACCCTCTCTTTAAAGTCACAATCGTCATCGTTCTCTGAAGATGAGGTCCTCCGGGACCCGAAGTGGCTCTTATGTGGGGATGAGTGATCTGGTTGGGGCTGTATGGGATTTTGATATGTCACAGTCCTTGGTGGATTAATATATAGACTCTGGAAGGGGAGGGTACATGCAGCTGGGTTGTACGAAGCTGGCGTGCTATGTACAAAACCTCCCGTGTGACTTGTGGCTCCAACAAAAGGGTTTGTGTGGGCAAACTGCGCGGGAGCAGGCAGCGGGGCGAACAAATCTTCTCCCTCCATAGACCGTGAGCCAGTATATTCTGTTATGGCTTGGCTCTGAGCCACAACAAGAATAGGGGAGACGAGGCGGAATTAAAGTGCTCAAAAGTATATTTAATTGAGAGAACGGAATAACAAATATTAATATATACAAAAAGGTAAATATGGGGTGTGTTGTGTAGAAGTCAGTGGTGTAGGTGCAGGTGATGCTTGTGTGCAGTGAGGGCGCCGTATGTGCGATATGAATGTAGGTGCATAAACCAAAAGACAAACTCAATAGTGCATGTTGAAGGAGAGCCAGGGAGGAGATGCAACAGGCACCAGGGCAGGAGTGGAATGGCCCTCAGGAGCGCGCAGAGAGAGCGCGTGCACCTATCCTCCAGGCTATATGCGCGTGCGCTGATTGCGTGCGCGAACACGCCCACTGCTTCAGCGCCAACTGGTCCCCCTGTGCACACAGGAGACAGGAGCGGCAGGAAGGAGACACAGGAAAAAGGCCCAGGCCCCCCATAAGGCCTAGCCCGTAACACCCCCCCCCCCTTCAGGAAAGGGCCCATAATGGGTCCTAGACCAGCCCACAGAAACAAAACTAACAGCGCTGCTTACACTTAGCAGATAGAAGAGTCCCAGGAGAAGGAACCAACCCGTCAGCATTACTTTTAACTTGACTTCGACCCCTCTCAAACTGATTTTGGCGTACCTCGCACCATTCGTTGGCCCCGGGACACAGGAATCCCACCGTGCCGTCCCGGCGTAGCATAGCACGGCGGGGACGAAGCTCCAGGCTTCCTCACGGCCTAATGCGCCCGGGAGAGCGCATCGGCCACAGCGTTGTCCCGGCCCCGGATATGCTGGATGTCCAGGCTGTAAGACTGCAGGTGGAGGGCCCAGCGCATGAGCCGCTGGTTTGGAGACTGCAGGCTAGTCCACGCAATCCTCCATACGAGGAAGGGGAAAGGAGTCAGGCTTTGTCACCGCGTTGACCTTACGAAAGTCAGTGCAAAAGCGAGGTGTATTATCTGACTTTGGGACAAGCAGACATGGCGAAGCCCAGCTGGAATCACAGGGCACTGCAATGTTATTATCAATCATATATGCCACTTCACTGTCAAGCAACTTTAGCTTATCCGGATGAACACGATAAAAGCGCTGTCTAATAGGGTTTGCATCACCCACATCAACGTCATGTTTCAGGACAGTAGTGCGCGATGGAGTATCCCCAAACAACCCAGGGAACTGACAAATCAACTGTACCAACTGTAACTGCTTAGCCGGTTCCAAATACAATAAAGAGCTTTCCAAGGTCTCCAGAAACTCCTTATTCTTAAGACGCCCAGTTACTAATGCGTCATCAGGGTCTGTCGGCTCCTCCACAACTTGCTCTGCCACAGCTACCAGAGAAACAGACAAACTCTGAGGATGAGCTCCGGACTGAGTCACCTCACGTGCAAAATAAGGCTTAAGCAGATTTACATGACATAACTGAGTTTTAGCCCTGCGCTCAGGCCGGACGAGCCCCCAATTCTGTTATGGCTTGGCTCTGAGCCACAACAAGAATAGGGGAGACGAGGCGGAATTAAAGTGCTCAAAAGTATATTTAATTGAGAGAACGGAATAACAAATATTAATATATATCACCGCAGCTCTCGTCACATAAAAATGGGTTTTAATGATCGCACTTTATTCCTGTTTGCATCTACACCCACAGCACTTCGCGCGCTCCCACACACACACACACACACACACACACTACTCACAAAGCTACTGCACTTGTGAGATAGGCAGATCTCACAACAGTACGAAGACAACTAAGGAACAATAACACTCACAAAGAATCCTGTTAACAGACAAAGATGCACATGACGTGAAAGATAATTTCCTCATAGGTGTTGTAACCACAGGGAAGGTGGTTTTGGAATATTGTCCTACTGATAAAATGATAGCTGATCTTTTGACAAAAGCTAAAAATGTTTCCAAAGAAAATGTTTGGCATGTAAAAATGTATGTAAATGCATGTATTGTTTTACCCAGTGAGCTAACAGCGAGTGGGGTGTTAAATAATATTATATTATATCGCTCTTACTCCCTGTCTAACAGAAGCTCTTATTTTGAAGGCGCTACAGGATGTAGTCATGTTGTTCTATCGCTAACTTCCTCTATGGCTCATGCTCCCTGTGCTGCCAAGCTGTTCAACAATATTCCCAGACAAGAGGCTAAAGATACCAACGTGAGAGCATCTGTCCTTAACAACGATCTTTGATCTTTGTGCTTCATAAAGTCAGCAGCTGATTGGAGCAGAGGGAACATCTGCATGATCCCCGTGTAGAGCTCCTCCTACCACCGCAGCTGCTCCTGCTCCGTGCGATCGGTGACTGTGTGTTATGCTAGTGCTGTTAGCGTTAGCATTAGCCACAGGCCGCTAGCATCTTTTACTGTCTGTTCAATGGACATTCATTCATCTGTTTACTTTAACCCTAATATTAACACCATGGAGCTATTGCACGATTGCACTTCACCTCACATGTTTTGTCTATTTTCATTTTTTATTCTAGAATGTTTAATCCTTTGTTAGATAAACCATTAGCATTAGCATTAGCATTAGCATTAGCCCCCGACCGGGAACAACACAGTTCAATTCAATGTGTATCGCCCTAAATCACAGCAGTCGTCTCGGAGACTTTACACAGTTGTGGATTTACCAACAACAGATCAGAGAATCAAACGGTTTGATCACATTAAATACATTAATAACAAACCCGCGGGACAAACACCTAGGTTAGCGGTTCTCAAAGTGCCACAAATACATGTTCATTTGCAAAAGCAGATATCTCCGTTTTTATGAATTGTCAATATATTTTAACCTTATGGTAACACTTAGGCTAGTAAACTTTACTGGCTTCAACAAAGGAATAAACACTTAAAGTAGACATTTGAAAAAACAACTTTATTTATCATATATATTTTTAATTTTACATAAACATTTGTGCACAAAAGCAGATAAATCCAACAATCGTTTTGTTGTTGTCAAAAACGGTTAACTCTGCAATGATTGCGTTTACATTAAATTAAGGACATAGATTAAGCCTGTACATCTTTGAATGAACCAATATAATAGATTTTTCTTAAAAAAAACTTCAAAATTACTAAAACATTTTAAATGTATTGTCACTTTGTCACTTGTGACAGCACATTCAAGTTATTTGGATACTGTAACACAATATTTAATCACCTTTGAAAACACGAGGTCAAGGCAACATTTAAAAAGTGCAAACTTGTAAACAATCTATGTAGAAGAACAACTTTCATTGGAGCAATTTTAGTGCACTACAAAACAAATGATGCAACATTTAGTGTTTTTAACTCATTGTAACATATGGCTTATTAAAACTTTGAAACCAGAAAAAATAACTATGTAACAGTCCTGTAGATTTTGGTTTGATTTCACCTGCATGTATTTTTGGTTTCTGTCATCTTTAGATCAGGTTCTTCAGTGAAAGAGAAAGGACCATCCTCACTCAAGACAATCAGCTCACAGTCCAAAGGGGAAAATAGCAACTGGCAAGACTATTGGGACAAAACATGTAAAGTAAACCAAAAAAGCAGCTGTAGCTTCATATTAGACTGGGGCTCAGATTGATTCATTCATTTGTCCTCTCAAAGTTTGTGAGTTTCAGGACATTAGCTTTTTTATCTGTCTTCACACAGTTTACTCTTTGAGCCAGTGCTGGCTTGAAGGTCTCTCACCTTTTCCCACGTTTCAAAAGACTGTGGTAACAGAAATCTCCACCATACAGCGGCTTAAAGCCTATTTTGTCCCCACTGATTTCCAAAACCTTGGCTTCACTTATTTTAAATGAGATGAGGTACAATGTTTTGCAGCAGCAGCTTTAAAGTCACAGCACTGCCAGTGTTGTCCATAAACGTGTACGTTTCCATGTTTTTCCATAATCTTCACATATTCTTCTTAATTTCCTGCTCCAGTCGTCCAAAGACACAGTCAGGGGGCATAAAGCTATGCCCATGTACAGGGAATGTATATTCAATTCATACGTTTTTAGTGTGCGCTTTTTGAGAAAAAAAGCATAGCGAGCATGTTTACATTTTTATTTTGCCCATAGCAAGAATCAGAAAATAGTCGGAGTTCTTTATGGTGACTAAGTTCATTACAAGCAACACGACTCCGATAATGTTGCAAAGCAGATGCCACCATGTTACTGTCCTTCTTGTTCTCATTTTCTAACCATGTGTAAAGATGGACGTCTTCTTTTCTCTGACCTGCACCACGACCACGATGACGCACAACTCCGAAGTCTGTCCAATGGCAGATTTAGGTTGCACTAGATTGCTCATTCTGACTGTGGAACTATGCATCTTCCTAACGTTCAGATCAACAGGAAGGTACTTTCTTCTCCTCTGCGCGCATAATGACTGGCTCTGCAGGTGAAAGTCTGGATGTGCTCTGATGGCTTCTCTCTTAGCTGCCCTCTCTTCAGACCTCCGTGCTCCTCCACGGCGCTCCGGCATTGGCACCCCATTCTGTTTCCAAAACTTGGCGATGTTACAGACGACCTTTCTTCACACCTGTAATCACAGATTTTTTAAAGTTAGATCAATAATATAGCTACATCTTTGCAAAAGTCTGTCACTAAAATGTTAGTTTAAAGACCTTATGCCGGGTTTGATTTATTTAGAAATAGTTTTAATACCATTTTATATTAGAAGAGAACTACTAAAGGTTTCAAAATCAGTTGTTGTTTTTTTTGTCTGATCCCCACAAATCAAAATAACCCCATAGCAACGCCCTTAGAGACGAAAAAACTTCACAGCCCTTGGTAACGTCAGAGTGGGTACATTTCAACGCTGTAAGTTGTTTACAATTTGGTATTCTTTCTTTTTTTGCGGATATTCAAGATGACAAGGCCGTGTACAGCGAGTCTGATATAAATCAGAATCAGAATCATTTTTATTGCCACGTAAGTAACAAAACCACATTTTTTTTCTCTGGATGAGCACCTCCGACTGCCGGCCCAATGTGGCTGTCAGAGGGGGGCGGGGTCAGGGAGGGGGTGAGTCGGAAACACAATGAGCAGTGGAGGGGAGGGAAGGAGAAGATGGATAGGTAGAGGGAGGCGGGGGAGCGGGATCCGAGCTGGACACTGAAGAGTGTGAGTTGTTGTAGATTGGGACCTTGTTTTATGGCCTTGGCCGAGGAATGTGAGATAAGAGTGGAGAGAAGACACAGCAGGAGACAACACATCGCCTGAGGGGGACGATATTATATGCAATGTAGCAGTCAAAAGCAGGCAGATATTCTATTAAATCCAATTAAACCGAATTGCGGCGCCCTCAGACCTCCGTACACAGGGGCAAATCCATGCCGGGTCAGAGAGTTCAAGCCTGACACACGATGTCATTCAATCTCATCTCCAATGTTTTAATGTTTTATTCCCTTCGAGTGAACGAGCTGCGAGATCTTTTATCAACTGTTCCACCAACACCACTCTCCTTTGTCCAGACACTGCACTCTCAACCACGACGCGGCTTAGCAAGTTCGCAAGATTCACAACCTGCTGGCCAACAAAATTGATGGGATGTACTTCTTGTACATCCCATCAATTTTGTTGGCCAGCAGCTCGTGAATCTTGCGAACTGCCATGCCTCCGAATTTGCGGTAGAAGAGGACCGCTCCAAACCTAAACAGGAGGATCCCCACCACCAAAATGGCAAAGATATATACGTCATCCGAATCTTCAATAGACAGGGTCGACAGGCAGAGGGGCTGAAACTTGTTCCAGCTGTCAAGAGTATACCCCGCAGGTGAAGTCCCGTCCGGGCACACGGGCTCTCCAGACCCTCGCTTACGTGTTGAAAAGATAGAATCAATTGCGTTGAGGGACCAGTTAATCATTTCCATTCTTGTTAAAGTTGTCTGTGGCAAAACTCCAGGAAAAAGACAAAAACAGGAGATAGCAGGCAGTCAGAAGCAGGAGCGGTCTGAGACACGACTTTGCTCGACGGAGGAGGAAGGAGAAAAGTAGAAATACTAGATTGTAACACTTTGTTGGTACTGAGATAGTCCAGTGGTTGTGTCGATGGACTGCCAATCCAGACACTTCGGTTCAAATCCCACCTCAGACACTTTTTCACTCTCAAACGGCAATTTATGTGTAGTGAGCAATTGTCACCTGTAGAGGGCAGTATTGTGTTGGGCATCAGTGGAGAGAAGAGAGAAAAGGCAGTTCTGTGGCATAGATCCATGGTTTTCAATGCATGGGCGTTACCCGCTGTGACGTCACACACAGGTTAGAGCATAGACAACTTAAATTCATGAAAAACACGTTCTTTTTTATAAAATATAGGATTTTTTTTGCCGAAATCTCTTTCAGATTGACATTGTCATGCAATTTTGATATCCACAATTTTTTTTTTTAACCCAGCATAAGGTCTTTAATAAATAGATTCATTATTGATCCAGAGGGAAATGCAGTAACTAGCTTCAACTACTGTTAATGATAAAAACAAACACTGCAGAGAACAGTCTGTGTTTGCCCCAGAAATGTAATGTCAAACACTAGTTAATTATAAATCACTGTCAAATGGTATGTTATGACTCCAGATTAAATGCACACAAGTGTTTTCTTAAAGGTTTATAGCAATTCCCCATTATGTTAAACATCACGTACACACAAAAGACAAAGCTACACAACTATTAGAAGGAACTCAAAGTACTCACAGAATAGGCTCATGAATGAGGATTTGCAGACTGGGATCCTATCTTGTGTTCTGGTTAAGACAGAATATTTCACCGTCACGTCTCTGGACTTCTGTTGTGCACAGTCTTTTACCTTTGATCTCCTCCGTTTTACTGATACTTTATTGATCCCCCGTAGGAGAAATTCAGGATAAATACTGGTGACATTAAGGATGTACCGATCCAGATTTGTTGTAATCCGATCCATTTCCGATATTCTTAAATATTGTTTTGCCGATACCAATCCGATACAATCCAATTTTTCCTAATATTTTCAAAGCATTAAAGATTTTGCTACCAGTAATACTTTAAAATGTTTTTTTACCTGAATAAACATGTTTGTCGTGTCGGCTAACACACGTTAGCAGCCTTGTTTACAGTCACGGGGAATGAGGCTCGAGGAATATGTTCACAAGCAGTCTCCCCAATAGTTAGTCCTGGTTTATCTCCTGTTTTGTGTCCCATGACGGCTCTGTGCGGCCGCTCTCTGATCGCCGCACGGAGGAAAAAGTTCATCACATGCTTTCGCCGCATGCACCAGGTCTCTGTGTCCGCTGCCTCTCCCGCCGCACATGCTGAGCCTCGCACGGACGTGCATAACCATTGACAAGGCATTGAAAAACAATCTTTAGATCCATGTACGCTAAGCATGGTGCGGTTGTTGTTTTTGCATTTCCCAGAATGTTTTGCGGTTCTCGCTTGGCTGTGATGTGTCGAGAAGCCTCTGCCTACATCCCCCAGAATGCCGCGCGCCTCTGTTTTTGTCCTGTTTTTCTAACGGAGTGATGCTAAACGAACATTCTATCGACCCAGTTTTCTATTGAGATTGAACACGTGTCTATCGCAATATATCTCGTTGTCGTTTTCTCGCCAAGCCCTAGCCTTACATTGTATTTAGTTTACGGCAGCCGTAAAGCGTGAACATGCTGAAAAGTGACATAAATCGGCTTCATATTTAACAAATCCAATATTATCCGATCCTTACAAAATACCCATATCGGATACCGATACTGAATATCGGATCGGTACATCCCTAGGTGACATCCATGTATGACAGGTGCGTGGCATCTTGTTTTATTCTTGTATGTATTTGATGTCTTCTGGAGATAACTTGGCTGCCTGACAAACATTCACATTGTTATGTACACAAGCCACGGCTGCGGTCGCGCCACCACTGTCCCGGGCTTTTTTGGCTAGTTTACGGACGTGTTCCTCTGGTTTCCTTTTTCTTTTGCGCCCCCGAGGTGACAAAAGAACCGCCTCCTCCGCATCGTCAAAGCCAGCCATGGATTAAGATTGTGTGTGCGTATATAATTATAATGATCTGACATGTCTTTGTTGTGTTTGTTGCAGATCTACAAAGTCCATCTACAGAATGGGAGTCACCTGTGATCAGTGTGGAAAGACCTGCAGCTCTGCTTCTGCACTAAAGACCCACTACAGAACTCACACTGGAGAAAAACCATACGTGTGTGATCTGTGTGGAACAGGTTTTACTCAAGCAGCACATCTTGAGACCCACAGCAGAATCCACACTGGAGAAAAACCCTTCACCTGTGACGTTTGTGATCAGAGTTTTAGACATGAGCATCATCTCAAATATCATCAGAGGATCCACACAGGAGAGAAACCATTTGAGTGTGACCAGTGTGGAAAAACATTTAGGAGAAAACAGCTGCTCTTACTGCATCAGAGTGTCCACACAGGAGACCGACCTCACCAATGTGACCAGTGTGAAAATACTTTTACACAATTATCTAGCCTCACTGTGCACTACAGAATCCACACTGGAGAAAAACCATTCGTCTGTGGAGACTGTGGGAAGGAGTTTACTCAGTTTGGCTCCTACAAAAGTCACGAGAGAATTCACACTGGAGTAAAACCCTTCAGCTGTGACATTTGTGATCAGTGTTTTTCTCACAGTGGTCATCTCAAAGATCATCAGAGGATCCACACTGGAGAGAAACCATTTGTCTGTGGAAAGTCTTTTACACAAAGCCAACATCTTCGTGGACACATTAAAACGTGTGAGAAGCAGGTGTGAAGACGCAGCATCTGGAACAAAGTGAAGGAGACAGAGCTGAGGCTGCATCATGTGAACCCAGAGTCAGACTCTACAGGATCACACTTCAGTCTTAACCCTGTGCTGCAGCTGCTGAGCTTTACAGACCAAACACTTATTGTGGATTTGAACATCTTTACTTTGTGTCTGGAGACTCGGATACATCATGTTTTTGTCTGAAAGGAAAATCTTATGGGTTCCTTTAAAGCTGCATCAAGTCTACACAGGGACAGCTTCAGTCTCTCTGTACTGTCCTCTACACTGCTCCATAGACTACACAGGGACAGCATCAGTCTCTGTACTGTCCTCTACACTGCTCCATAGACTACACAGGGACAGCATCAGTCTCTGTACTGTCCTCTACACTGCTCCATAGACTACACAGGGACAGCATCAGTCTCTGTACTGTCCTCTACACTGCTCCATAGACTACACAGGGACAGCATCAGTCTCTGTACTGTCCTCTACACTGCTCCATAGACTACACAGGGACAGCATCAGTCTCTGTACTGTCCTCTACACTGCTCCATAGACTACACAGGGACAGCATCAGTCTCTGTACTGTCCTCTACACTGCTCCATAGACTACACAGGGACAGCATCAGTCTCTGTACTGTCCTCTACACTGCTCCATAGACTACACAGGGACAGCATCAGTCTCTGTACTGTCCTCTACACTGCTCCATAGACTACACAGGGACAGCATCAGTC